TCAAGACTACTGACGTGTCGGAACGTGGAAAGCATTCGTAGACATAGCGTATTCCCACAAGCTGCGCGCCGCGCTGAGCTCGGCCGCATGGCCACTCCGGAGTCTGCCCGGGCGGGCTCTGCTGGCACTGCGGCCGGCCGCCCCCTCTTACCGGCGGCCGAGCCGCTGCGCCATGGAGAGGGCTTCCCTGTGGGGTGGCGTTTCTTGGAACTACGCCGCGTGCCAGCCAATGGGGTGGCTGCTACAGAATACAGGCTTCGCTCCATTGGACAGGGGAATTTAGGGGCCGTTTGGCGCGGCTTCAAGAGCGGATAACGCCGGTTCGCTCCATGGGACAGTTAATGCTTTCTCGCATTAAAAAGTATTTGCAATGAGGCGAGTAATGGGCGAGTCTCACTAACTCTCATGTACTCAGTACATGAGAGTTAGTGAGACTAAGAACCATTTTCTTAAATACTAACTTTAACTCATTATCACTTAGCTCTTCAGCTAAGCACTAAAATGGTTATGTAGTTTAATATAAATTCTCGTATAATGCCCCTACTCAAAAAAAAAAAATCTTTGTTTAGATTCAGCAATTTTATATCGACAAGACAAGCAAAGTTAGCAACGACCGCGTGGTGGTCACCAATACAAGGGATAACACATTAGTTAGAAAAAATATTAGGGGAGTTGCGATATAATAAATCGAGAAAAGTACAACCATCGAGTCCGTTATGAAAGATTTTGAGAAGACCAGACGTATGCTTTATAGCTTTCATTTTGCAGTATGCACTGCTATTAGGGCTCCAACTAGAAGTACCATTAATCCATGTCATTTCTTTTAAATTGAAATCACCTCTAAGAATAATAGTATATGTAAAAAAATGCAAGAAATTTTGCGTAACTCACGAGTACCATCTGGTTCAGAAGCAGGAGGACGATCAAAGGCACCAACAACGAAACTACAGAACCAGAACCATTGGCACGGCATAAAACAGATTCAGTAGAATTATTTTCAACACAAGATGTTCATAACTCTTCAATATACTATTAACGAGAACGAAAACTCCACTTCCGTGAGTTGACCTATCATTTCGAAAGGCACAAAAAGAGCAACGAATTGCTTCATTACCTCTTACTGATGCATCGAACCTAGATTTAGAGCCAATGATTACCTCAGCATCAGGGTTGTAAAGTCCTAGGTACAAGTAAAGGGAAATAGGTATCTAGGTACTTTTCTTCTACCTGAGGTACAAACCTAGGTACTTTTGATATCTTGGTATATTTATCAGTATCTTAGGTATATTTTCCAGTAACTTGTAACTAAGTAAAGTTACTTTTTATAGGTACTTTTTTTTCTATTTACTTCGTCAAAATGGTAGGAACTGTAAACCTTGAAGTATTCACACACTATCATGTGCCCTGATTAACGTTGAGTTGGGTGCGACCTGGGAGGCACTGACTTGATCGAACGACGTTTTAGCGAACGAAGCCCCTCCTATGATGTTTCATCGAACGACACTTTAGCGAATGGCGGTATTCCCTTGAGCGAACGGTGGATTAGCGATGCCGTTCTAGCGACACCAATTTATGCGAACATCAACTATGAAAAAAGCGCCGCGTCAGGCCAACAAAGTAGTGACGACGAAGACTGCGAGAGCTTCTTTAACTTCGAAACACCGTCCTCATCTGCTTCATGAGAGAGGGAATTTGTACAGTATACACCGAACTTGCTCCGACAAGAATTCTGGAGCGTCTCAAGCGCATGCCGCTGCTGAAAAACGTGTTCTTAAAATTCAACACTGGGCTTCCAAGCAGCGCGGAGGTGGAGCGCGTTTTTAGCGTAGAAGGAACAATTGCTACTAAACTGCGATCGAAGCTGTCAGATAAACACTTCGAGGAGGTCCTGATTCTAAAATCAAATAGAGCACTTAAGTGAATGCGGTTTTCCTTATTTCTCGCATTGACACCAATAAAGCACATATATCGAACTCATTCTTGTGTGTATCCTTAGTATAAAAATCTTTACTTCCAATGTATTCTGACAAATTTGTGTAAAATAAATAAAGTATCTTTGAAGTAACTGTACCTGTACCTAGGTACATTTTAAGCCAGTACCTAGGTACGTACCTAGATACATTTTCGAATGCGCCCCACCGCCAGCGTTGCGACATCTGACAGCGTGGCACTCGAGGTTTTGAGACGTCGTTTGCTGCCACTTCAGGACCCTTACGATACATGGGCAGGATAGGGCGCTTACCAATCGGAGACACGGGTTTCAGGCACCGTGTACCTTCCATTGGCATATGACGGGCAACCGCGAATGTTCAGTCGGCACGACCACCCGAGCAATGCCACCGATCCCTCTCCCCTTCTCTACGGGGCTTACGGGCTCAGCATTCGCAGCGTGCACAATAAAATTTCGTATTGCCCGTGCACGCAGTGCCACCAGGTGCCTGGTTGGTCGATATAAACCTGACATGTAAAAGTTAGTTAATAAAAGTAATTAAGTTAAGTTATTCAGTACTGAACTCAAAAGTAATTTGAGTAGAGTAGAAATTACTCAAAAGGAAAGTAATTGACAAAATTACTAATTACCGTAAAAAGTAGAGAATTGCTTTTGAAGTTACTTTTATGTGTTTTTTTTATGGTAAAAAGATAAGTACATAGGTTTGTATCCGTTAGCGAAATTGTGCTAGCCAAAAATGAATTGGCATGTTTTTTCACAGAAATACTTTAATAGGTGGTTCTTCTGCGTGCCTCATTGTTTTGTACTTTTTTGTTTGTTTGGTCAATGATGTACTGCAACAGTGTCATTTCTACTTTGAGGTTTAACTCTGCGTCAGCTTGATTTTGTAGACAGTGTTCGCTTGTTTACAGTGTTGCGTAAAGTACACCTAAAAAGTACTTGAAGTACAAAGCAAGTAAAGTAGTAAGTACACCGGGTGCAATGTACTTGAAGTAACGTACTAGAGATACAATATATTTCAAGGTAAAGTACCAGTACTTTTAACACAATCTTTCATGATGCCCTTTCATTCCTTACACAGTGTTTTTTTTTTTTTTTGGTTTTTTTTTTTTTGTTTAACTGGTATTTTCGCTCCAGGGATAATCGGAGATGCATCAGGTTTTTACGGAAATGGTAGCAAATATTGTATAAGGTCCTCGCCACAGTGTAGTTGTTTTACTCTCGCTGACGAGCTATTTGTCACAATAAACTTATAAGGCACTTGTTTGTGTCGGTCTTATAAGCGCCATTAATTCCTTCAGAGAAATTACCAGGTGACGTCTCAAAAGAGCGCATTTTCACACGACGATACGCCATTTTTCGTCTTCGAATTCGGGGAATGCACACTGAAGTCGGGAGTTTCACTTTCCTCGGAAAGTTCAAGTACTTGCTCAGAGAATGTACTTCAAGTAAAGTACAAGTTTTGTAAACAGTAGTACTTTAAATACCATGTACTTAGTGTACTTCCCAACACTGCTTGTTAGTTATTTTTTTTATATAAAAACGTTGTGGGATTTACTAAGGTTTCTCGAACAATATTAGAATCTTTAAAGATCTACATATTCTGAGTTTTGGGAGGAAAGGCAACTGCAAAAGGTTCCCCTTTGCGTTGCCCTTTAGCACGCGATTCTTCGAGTAGTGCACAAACTACGGGAGCACCAAATGAGTTTCAGAGCAGGTGCTGCACTTTGTTGCCTCGTTTGAGTAAGGATGCCGTGTGTGCACCTCCTGGTTGCGAGCGAGAGTTTCTACGTTGGGGAGAAGCGGGGACCAGCCCTTTCTTCCAATGGGTCAAGTCTCCTTGAGCTTCAGGACGCAAAGAAACACCAGTCTTCGGCGCTAATCCCGCAGTTACTCGGCCTCTCTTGCGTCGTGTCTGTTCGCTTCCAGCGCCTCGTAGTAGTTTGTTGCAGTGGTGGGGCTCGTGAAACTTTTGGGGGTTTCAGACTCTCCAAACCATTTTCTTTTCTCTCCCCCCCCCCTTTCCGACGCCACATGCTTCTCCCTCTTTGCAAATATCAGCTGGTATTCCAACATCTTAATCTTTTGTGTAGGAATGTTTGTTGATAGACAAAACAACCACTAAAATCCGAAAGTAATTTTTGATTTGAGTAGAAGTTGCTCAGCAAAAGTAATTAAAATAAGCTACTAATTACCGAAATAAAAATGTAATCGAAAGTTACTAGACTACTGAGAAAGTAACTACAGTAACTCGAGTAGAGCAGCTGAACTACGTACACATCGCGACAGAGTTAGCGCGAACACGACATCGGCGCATTTTTGCATTTTGCTTCTAAATAGTTTTAGCGAGCACCAAATTTTATCGCTTACTTTATATAACTAAATGAGACCTTTCCGTAGCAATAATAACTTGGATGACATCGCTTGGTTTCAAAAAAAAAAAGAAACTGAAAAAACCGGCGATCGCTTGTTCGCGCTCTGTACAAGTCTGATATAAACGTTACTTTTAGGCGTCCCTGATTACTGGTGAACCCAATGGCCCGTGAAAGTAACTCTTCCTGAGCGTTTCTTTCTTATATATTAATTCTTAATTGTACGTAATGATGTTTATAACTAATTATTATTATAGTGCGCGGTAGTAGTAGTAGTAGTAGTAGTAGTAGTATAAAATGAGTAGTAGTAGTAACATCACCAATGGTAGTATAAAATGAGTAATTGTAGTAGTCGTATAAAACAAGTAGTATAGTAGTAATCGTAGTATAGTGGCCATAGCACGAGGCCTCGCGCAACAATAGAAAGTATTCTCTAAACTCTAAAGCAACGAGCTCGTGCTTCATGAAGCTGCACAGGGCTCTTCATACCGGGTCTGGTGTGTGCGCTTCTCTAGCTCATTAAGGTGGGAAAGCCCTCGACTCCGGACCGTCATTTTCTTTCTCCTAATTGGGTAAAATATGATTTCTCATTGCCCCGCTCGCATCGCTCGGCTTAGTCGCGCGGTAACGTAGACTCTCTCTTTGTTTTTTTTTTTTGTTTTTTTTTTTTTCCGCAGTTGCACAACTTCTTCCACGACCTGCTGACGCACCTGTCCAACGTGAAGCCCTCGGTGGCGGCAGCCATCTCCAACAGTCCGGCGCAGTCCCTCAGGGGTGAGTGCCGAAAGCTCCACCGGTTCTCCTTTTTCTCACGGCCCCAAAAGACATACATGTGCGAGCGCGCTCGCTTAGTGCCCCCTTTAAAAACGAGACGGCCCCATATACAGCCCGTTTCACTTTTGAGTCAGACAGCAGCTGAGGTCCGACAGAGTCAGCCAAGTATAGCCTCAAAAGCGCATCGTCACGGCGTTTATCTTCTCTGTGCGTTTCTATTGCCGGCTGAAGCAATCACCCACAGGAACTGCGCCGCAAGCCTGACGTTCTTTTTTTTTTTTTTTTTCTGCACGTGACTTTTTTGTCTGGTGACAGCAAACCCAGGCGGACAACGAGCGGGAGCGGGAGCGGCATGACAGTACACTTTTGGCGGTGCTTGATTGGCTCTGTCAAATCGCAGAACGGCGTGCGAGCGTCAAAAGCGCGAGTCACTGGGCCTTTTCTGTTTACGATTGCTTCGGTGGCGATAGACAACACACGAAAAACATGGCAAGCACCATGACGGCGCGCTTTTGAGGCTGTCTGATTGGTTGCCTCGGCTCGTATAGAGTCGACTGCGTCTGGACTCAAGTTGAAACGAAGCCTGTAAAGCCAACACCACCTACAGTAATCAAAGCCTCTCCGGATCGCCTCCTCTCCCTTATGAAACCGCATCACAGTCGGGTCGCGCTAACTCGGCTATTGGGCCCGAGTCCGACCTTCGACGCTCTGATTGAACACGAGCCCCGGCCGAACACTGACGCAGCGCTCGTGCCCAATCTCCGGCGTCGATCGGTCTGACTGTGATGACGTTAAGGAGGCCTCCTGCTTATCTAGGTGGTGTTAAGCGAGCGACTTGGAGATGAAACACGGAAGACTCGAAAGAGGATACACTTACAGGAACAGAGGACAACACACGGAGCTCTTACAAATAGCGATTGGATTGGATTTGATTGAATGTCGTGGCTTTTCATTTCATTTCATTTCATTTCATTTCATTTTATTATACCTCAAAGGCACTTCTACCGAAGTGCATTACATGAGGGGGGATAAGAATACAAACTCACATAAAAACAAACAAAAGCAAAAGTAGATTCACAAACAAATACAAATAGTAATATTTGCCGAAAAATGGCTAGGGTTAAATCGCATCAGGATGCATATCATGGTGGTAAAAAAAAAAAAGAAAAAAGAAAACTAATGACTAGCTACCGACATAAACATTTAGACTAACGAAAAACACTTTTGAGGTGTGCCTTGCAAAGATCGCGGAATTTAGCTGGATTATTTTCGAGAGCAATAGCCTCAGGAAGAGAATTCCAGTTATTGATGGCTAGAGAGAGCGGGGAATTTTGAAATTTATTAGTTCTCGCAAATAGAGGGTTTATTTTCTGGCTGTGGTCACGACGTAAGGAGATGTGAGATGGAGGTTGGCAGTAATGGTTTCGGAATGACGAAGAGGAATAGTAGATTTTGTGGAACATGACAAGACGAGCAAGTTTAGTTCTTTCGGCCAGTGGGCAAAGGTCTAGATTTGTTTTAAGTGCGGTTACGCTTGATGTCCGTGAGTAGTCATGAGATATGAAGCGAGATGCTTTATTCTGAACTGATTCAAGTTTGTTAATAAGGTAAGCTTGATGCGGCCACCAAATAAAGTTGGCATAGTCCAATTTAGCCCTCACAAAGGATTTATAGGCTGTTAGTTTAACACAATGCGGGGTACTGTGAAGGTTACGTTTGATATATCCTAGAGATTTACAAGCACTAGAAACTACAGTGTTAATGTGGGTATTCCAGGTTAGGTCGTCTGAAAATGTTACACCTAAATATTTGTAGCTGGACACTTTTTCGAGAGGCAGAGTTTGTAATGTATAATTTCGTATTGCAGGCGTTCGTTGGCCAGTGAATGTTAATAGTTTACTCTTGGTGACATTAACTTTCATCTGCCATGTGTTACACCATAGTGAAAACATATTTAAATCCTGCTGCAATATTAAAGACTCTTCAGGTTTAGTAATACGACGATAAATAACACAATCATCTGCGAAAAGCCTTATGGAAGATGTTATATGGAGAGGAAGGTCATTAATATAGATAAGAAATAAAAGCGGACCCAAAACGCTGCCCTGCGGAACACCTGATATTACGGGAAGGCTATACTCTTTTTCACCTCAACTTGTGCACCGGCGAATTCTCCTCAAAGAGAATTGTATCAGTGCGCCAACCAACCAGAGTGCCGGGTGTCCTCACCCGCACTCCCACTGGGAGTAGTCAGAGTGCATGTTGACAGTTGATTCAGCCAGCGGGTTGCAAGCAGGTTTGTGGCGTGCGTATTCGTAGCGGTCGCTCAGGTCGCTCGCGAAAGAGCGGGAGTCTGTGCTATCAAACCGCACTGGCCGGCATCTCAACAGTTGCAAGGAAATGTGATGCATAGAAAACATGATTTGCAGCTATCGTCGCGCTTCGTCGCCATCGCTTTCAATCGGGCATGCGGACCGCGTTTGCAACTTCGCTGCCGCGCAACATTCGCGCTTTTTATGTTGCCTGGTATGTGACATGCCCTTACGTTACGGTCGCGGTTTTGTTGAAAAAGTTTATATTGTTTGCTTCTTGAACTGGTAGCTTGCGATTTCAGTCTCTCCAGCGTCAAATACCACGCCCGCGAACGGCTCTCTGCTGCACCGCGATAGGCATGCGAGATGTCCGACAGCATTTGGAAATGACTGGTAAAGTGCCAGATTGCTGTAACAGGCAGATTACTCAGCAGATTCTCAAAATAGTGTAAAACGTGTTTTCTGCAGCTGAAGTCGACTGCATCAAAGCCGGGAATGTGGAGTGGTGAGAATTGTGGTCTAATATGAGCACTTATACAATACTGTTGGTCTAATATGAGCAGTTATAGTAATATAATCAGTCAACAAGAAAACTGCAAGTATATCTACAAGGTTTATTGTTGGTAACAAGGAGCATACCACATTCATAGTAGCTCTGGTTCATGTTCTGTGTTCATTGCAGGCCACTGTCCACAGCTCCTCTAGCCCCTGCTTTTTTGCTGCGATGACATGTAGCATTCGAAGTCGAAAAATTGTATGATAAAATGGTGGATATAGACAGCATTGGTTGTTCTCTTTCCCCCCTCCCCCATGGTAAAACCCCCTAAAACGAACAATTTCGGTATTGTACTGTACTGCCCAAAACAGTTTCCTGTTACAATGCTTGCATTGTTTGTTCCCAGTTCTCTTACCTTCGAGAAAACAGATGCAGCTGTACTACATCTGGGCACTATAACTGACCGCCCCACATCCACTTATTTTAGTACGGAACTATGTCACTTCATTGCAGGTCTAATCCTTTGAATCACTATAAAATATTTCTGGGACAGCACCAGCATGCATTTGTGTATAGCGAATGTACTTGTGGCAGCTTTTGTTTGCAGTGCCACAGCCCTGCATCTTTGCGACTCATAACCTTCTTGAAGTTCGTATTTTGTACATCCCTAGGATGAACACAGGACAAACACTAAAAGGCCCTTTCGTGTTTGTCCTGTGTCCTAGGTTTACAATGTGATGTAAGCTCATGAGCCAAAAACTGGTAACACAAGCAAATTCTGTAGACCTGCACTGTTCAATTAGACCTCGGGCACTTCCTGTGTACTCTGCATTCAACGAACTGCATTTCTGGCGTCTTTGGGGCCAGGGGTGTTCTAAAATTGAATTCTGCTGTGCAAGTCTATTCTGTAACCTTTGCTGTACCCTTATTATGCTGTTATATTGTGTACGACAAGTGTGTATGATGTTTGTGATTGGGAGGGGGAGGGGGGGGGCGGCGCCTCGTGAGGCAATTCTGTTTGCCTTTTGTGTCAGCTCTTGGGCAACGACTGTTTGTATGTTGTTGCCTAAATAAAGATTCAATCTAAGAGGAACTAGCAGATGCGTGCACACAAGCCGGTGTAAGCTGAAGACATGCTAAATCCCGCAATATTAGCCTGGGAGACGAGAAGGGAATGGAACGACGTCTTGAACATGGCTCGGTGTTTAATATTTCTGTGCAACATAACGGAGCCGACTCGTCGTGTTGCTGCAACAGTTCTCGAAGTGGCAGGGCTTCAATCAAGATGACGAGAGTTAGTCCACACAGGCAGGCCGCCTTGTTTTCAGAGAACGCTTCACGTAGGCTTCCGAAGCCGCCTCGTCGTGTTGCTGCAGCCGTTCTCGGAGAGGCAGGGTTGCATACCAGATGTCGGGAGTCAGCCCACACAGACAAGGCCGCCTTGCTTTCAGAGAAGGCTTCACGTAGGCTTCCGAAGCCGCCTCGTCGTGTTGCTGCAGCCGTTCTCGGAGAGGCAGGGTTGCATACCAGATGTCGGGAGTCAGCCCACACAGACAGGCCGCCTTGCTTTCAGAGAAGGCTTCACGTAGGCTTCCGAAGCCGTCTCGTCGTGTTGCTGCAGCCGTTCTCGGAGAGGCAGGGTTGCATACAGATGTCGAGAGTCAGCCCACACAGGCAGGCCGCCTTGTTTTTGGAGAACTCTTCAAGTGGGCCTCCGAAGCTGCCTCGTCGTGTTGCTGCAGCCGTTCTCGGAGAGGCAGGGTTGCACACCAGATGTCGAGAGTCAGCCCACACAGACAGGCCGCCTTGCTTTCAGAGAAGGCTTCACGTAGGCTTCCGAAGCCGTCTCGTCGTGTTGCTGCAGCCGTTCTCGGAGAGGCAGGGTTGCATACAGATGTCGAGAGTCAGCCCACACAGACAGGCCGCCTTGCTTTCAGAGAAGGCTTCACATAGGCTTCCGAAGCCGCCTCGTCGTGTTGCTGCAGCCGTTCTCGGAGAAGCAGGGTTGCATACCAGATGTCGAGAGTCAGCCCACACAGGCAGGCCGCCTTGCTTTCAGAGAAGGCTTCACGTAGGCTTCCGAAGCCGCCTCGTCGTGTTGCTGCAGCCGCTCTCGGAGAGGCAGGGTTGCATACCGGATGTCGAGAGTCAGCCCACACAGGCAGGCTGCCTTGCTTTCAGAGAAGGCTTCA